GAGGGTTATTATAAGCACTATCCTTTTGGGAAATGTTATCGTTACGTTCGTCAGAAGGTCGGGGTTGCTGCGGTTCTTTAGGCAGACGTTTTGTTTCCACTGGTTTTCGTTTCCGAGCAACAATTTTAACTGCTTGGGCGTAACTTAGTTTTGACTGTACTTTAACAGCCTGGACCTCCTTTGCCTCTTGAAATTTTTCACAGCCCTTGTATGCTGCCGAATGTTCACCCCGACATAAACAAAATACTGGAGTCTGCTTAGTACAGTCCTTTACGTTGTGATTTTCGCCACACCTTTGCAATATGACCGTAAAGTTGGCACTTAAAGCATCGCGTCGGGTGGCGGATAAATTACCGGACAGGAAAAGACAAAAAGCCGAGATGTACTCTCTTAGGTAGGGTTGTAGTCGAAAAATGGAGTATAATGGAACTTATAGGTTCTTTAACTTTTAAGTCTTTATTGTAGCGCATCATTCTTACTGCCTTCGTAATACCCTCTATGGTTGTACAGTCCTCTTCCGTAATGTCGAGGTAGACACCATGAATGATGCCCCTAAAAGAAGATGGGGGAATGTCTTGAATTTGGAAACGAATTTTGTATCCACAAATGTTTTTATTTCGACACAATAATCTCGACTGCGAGTATGAACAAACTACCGTAATACGATCTGTTTGTAACTGAATCCTTTCAGTAGGCCCAGTTAGATCGTTAAAGACTCTACTCAAGAGCATGGGATTTCCCTTAGCTATATTGATGTCCGGGGAAGTAAGGAAGACTATTTGTTTTCTGTCCCGAGTTGTCTTGTTGTGTCCGAAAGATTCTTTACTAGAGCCAGAATCAGATATTACTATTTTACTTGAACAGTCCCTATCTAAATCCATGCCATTTGACTCACCCACGATGCAGGAATCAGCCGAACCATTCACATACAGGCGAAGCTCGTCCGCTTCCTTCACCCCTCTCTCTCAGCAGTACTTCTAATTCGCTCTCCGCTAATTGGCATACTGCTTCCGGAATCCGTCGATTTCTACCGTATTCGGAATTAGAGTATATTAAACTTTAAACAGGATACGCTAACGTGACGTTTAGGTTCGTTTAACTATTATACGTGATGTACGTTTTTTTGGGGTGGTTAATGAAAGTGTTCTAAAACGCGCTATTAATTTCTTGACGACCTAATATATCGTTATTATTAACAGCTGCAATAAATTCCACAAACATGTAATATGTGACAGGCAAAACAGGGCTGGCTCTAACGTTTCAGTTACTTGTGTTTTTAACTGATCAGTTTACGTTCTATGATTCTGTATTTTTTGTTAATGTATATTATTTTAGAATATAAACGAACTAAATATATGTCCTGAAGTTAGGTATACGATTCAAGAAAAATGAAAATACTCTTGTGATAATTTAC